CAATTGATTGTGTTGCCGATATACATAGCAATTAATATGCCTGAAAAACAAAATAAGCAGAAAAAAAAAATTACCAAAGTAAAATGTGTACAACATCGTAACTGGGAGCGGCCATTTTGTTTTTAACGACGCCGTTTACTTCTTAAAAATAAGTGTCATTTTTTGAACGAACAATCATCAAAATCGTATATCCAACATGACCATTGTGCTAAACGTATTTCAAATGTACCAAAAACACAAATGTTGTCATGTTGTCAAGAATGTACCGTTAATGAGAGGAACAGAAAAAACGAGTCAGTTTACAAGTCACGGCACAGTCCCTCTATTACAAAAGGTGAAAAAGACATAATTTCACACAAGAAAATGTCGAACATCAACATATTGTATACAACGAAACTTACTCTCCTTAAAAACAAAGACGTTACGAATCAACTATGGTAAAAAATATTTGTATATGGTATCGAATATGTTCTGGAAACGTTAAAAAATAGATCACAGCACTGAACGCGATGTATCTCGAAGCTATCAACAGTATAGTACCGCGCTTCGCGGAGAGCCGTTACAAGCGTTAGCCCACTAATCCCGCCTATTCACACGTAAAACAATAGGCGTTTCCAGACCGGTGATAGAGGGACTGTGTTTTAGCGGACTCTTCTCATGGTGCTTTGTTTCATATGTTTATTTTGCTACATATATGAATTCACCCTAACCCTATTCAGATGAAGGGAGGACTTATGATTTGACCTGAATTCACCCTAACCCTATTCAGATGAAGGGAGGACTTATGATTTGACCTGAATTCACCCTAACCCTATTCAGATGAAGGGAGGACTTATGATTTGACCTCTGCATGCATGCATCCATCAAATTGTGCATGTACCCATCTTGTATCTAGGACATGTTGAGGCAAATTATATTTATACAAATATCAGGCCTCATGTATGCACGTCCATTGGACATTATGGGATGTCCATCATTTTGTTTTTCAGATCATATTCAAAACGGTCATGTATAGTCATTTGGATGCCATACATGTATCTCTGACTTAAATCTTTGATCACAATAAACTTTATTCCTGTATTTAATATGTTATCAGGTGATTAACATGCACTTAACATGATTAAACTTCTGATTAAGAAATGTCTGACATATTTCAGTTACTATTGAACAACAGGGACACTGTCTGTCTGCGTGCCTGCCTGCGTGCCTGCGTGCCTGTCTGTCTGTCTGTCTGTCTGTCTGTCTGTCTGTCTGTCTGTCTGTCTGTCTGTCTGTCTGTCTGTCTGTCTGTCTGTCTGTCTGTCTGTCTATCTGTCTGGGACTTGTTTTTATTAATTTGAAGAAAAAAAATAGTCTCAAATACTTCTTATAAAACATAGTAGACAGGTGTTTTTTAATATTTGACATGTAGGATGGAATATAGCTGCAAATGTTCTATTGCAAGAATTATATGGTTTTGTCCAGTTTCTACAATCCTAGTTTAGGGGTTTTCATTTTTTTGGCAATTTGTTCAGAGTCTAACCATGCATAAATTGACTATATAAAGTTGAATTGAGTTTACATATACATGTATTGCTATTATTAGTGTACATATTCAATCATTATTATAGTATTCCAAAGTGTCAACACATTGAGAAATATTTTGACAACAACTTTGATTTTGAAACAGAACAGAACTACCGTAGTTGGATACCAATACTAATATTCAAATTTCATTTGAGAAGTACGGTAAGAAAACAAACTTGTGATTCAGGGTTTCAACCCTGTGTGTGTTATGGAAAATGTTTCATTTGGTTTGCTATTGAATGTTCCCATCTCTGGGAATCAAAGCTAAACATCACCACAGATCCTTTTTGCTCGTTGTCAGCGCAAGTTGTTGGAGAAAGCCTTTCTCACCTCGGCTGAACTATTTTGGTTGATCCGTCTCACTGATACCGCTGCTGCTGTAGTTCAAATTCATGCTGAGGTTTGGACATTTGGTTTACCTGGGGATGGAAATAGACATGTAAAACAGACAAGCACCACAACAAGATCAGGCTGTGTACTACATCACATCTTGTCACACAATCATCAACACTGCACCAATTGATGAGATCAGTGGGAATGTAATTTTAAAGTTTCATTGTCATTTTACAAATTTGTCAGTGCTAGAACAACATACATAACATATGAAACTAGAAAACATTCAATCTCTGACTTTATGAATCAAGACGAAAAAACTAGTTAATTTTATTGATGAACTAAAATGACATAATTACTGAAAAAGCTAAATTTATATTAAATGCAATTTTTCCACAATGCACTAACATCAAATGATTATTTAGAGAGATTATTAAGTTTTAATTTTTTAGATAATATGTTCTTTTTTGTTTGTTTGTTTGTTTGTTTATTTTGTTACCCTTATTTTGGTCTTGTCATGTTCTTGTCTCCCCAGAGACAGTGTTGTGTCTAATAAATATGAAATATGTAAAATTATTTTAAAATTGTTGGCTACAAATATGATATATATTTTTTCCACACATTTCATTTTGGGTTTACTGAATTTTCTTAACTCTTACGACAAACTTAACTGCAATTTAACTGACTTTCAAAGAACAATAGAGCCTCTTTACTACATGCATTGATCCACAAATCTAATCTAATCTGGGGGGGGGGACTGCTTAAATTCAGGTCTGTGTCTCGTAGATATGTTCATTTCTTGATGCTTCAATTCTCTAATTTTGATGAATATTTTTGTCGCTTTTAGTAAAAAGTGACATTTTCGACTTCTTGTTGAAAACTGCAAGTCTGATTGCTTTGATGATATACATATAGGTACCTCAGGTGCACTTCTCTCAGATTTGTTCATTTGTGATGATATTCTCTAATTGAAATGTGCATTGCTAACAGCGGAGCTATCTCATCTGAGATGCTGCTTGTTTAAAATAGATGTTCTATCATATTAAATAATTTTCACAAACAAAATAATAAATAGTTTTCATGCTTTTTACACAAGTTTTGTGTGCATAATCAACCCCCCTGGTTACCTTGCATACATGACTTTTCCATTCTTTCGAATCAAAAAGAAGGGAAATAAGTCATCTTGCTGGCCTTGGTGTCAGGTAGGAGATGTAGTGTGTGATTTGCAAACATTATCTTTTGCTATCAACTTAGCACTCTTTGAAGCTGGCTCTGTCACCTTGTGGACTAATCACTAATTTTGATCTAAGAACCAAAGTCCAAGTGAAAGCCATTCCCATTTACACATCCCACTAATGGTACCAGGGACACTCAGCCTCAAATGTTTATTTGCTATGCAAAGTTTACAGACATCCAGATGTGCCACTAAAGTTGCAAGAAGATGTCTCAGGTTGCTTGGTTCCAGTTAATTTATACCTGGAAGCTATTAGCTATTTAAAAAAAATAAGGTTTCATCTAATGAAGTTTGTAGCACTCCGAATGTATGAAAAGTTAATATGAAAAATAATATGTGTCCAAATATAAGAAAATGTTGTCTATATTTTATCAGTGGACATGTCTGTTTTGGCATGTGTTGTCTATTGTCATTTCATGCAGTATCAATAGACCATTGAATGGGAGTGTACTGTTTCATTTTATGCAAATATGTAATATTATAGTAATTAAAAAATCTCTATATTTTAAAAAAAGTACAATGGTATTTTGGATGATTAGCCTGGGCTCATGTTTGCACAAACTTCGTTAGCGCCCGTGATAAGGGTCTAGACCGTATTTTGAAAACAGGT